GGGCCCGGCTCCTTCGCACCTGGAAAATTCAAAACCAAACCCATTAGCAATTCCAACTCTTAAGGTTTCCAATTCAAAACGACCCTGTAGGGCAGAATAGAACTGCACCATAGAGTTTCTAAAACTGAATCTTTACAGAAGCAGACCGCTTCATCTTTCTCACTTTGGTATTCTTCCACCTACCTGAAAAAGCTGGGATTTGTGTGTGTGTGGTGGGGGTGGGATGGGAGAAGGGGAGGGGATGAGAGCGGATAAAAAGGGGACATGTGATTGTCCTCGTTGGATTTCCATTGGGAGCCTTTCCCTAAGTGGAAATAATTCCAACTAAAGCAGAAAAGACTGTGGTTAGACACCAGGAGGGACTTCCCAATGGCCTTCACTGTGGGACTGAGGGTATTGTACAGAGAAGGGGAGATAGGGACTCCGATGAAGCTCTGAGTTTGGGACCAAAGTCCAGGCTGGAAAATTATGAGGAAGGTGCAGGTGACAAAAATCTTTCAGTTCCCCTCTGATCCCTCAAAAATAAAAGGCACACACCCCTTTTCGCAGTGCCCCCTGGGCTTGGGGCTGCCCCAAGCCACCTCAGTTCCCAGGAATGCTTGGAATCTGGAGAGGATAGTTTAGGACCCAGTAGACAGACACCAGACAGTTCATCCCCTGAAGGGTGCTGGGTGGGTGTGGTGTGGGGGCGCTTCCTGGCTTGGTCCAGTGTCTGTGGGCTCTGTGACCCCTCTCTGGGCCTGCCTCCCCAGTCCACATGGGCAGCATGCCCAGCATTCCTCCCCCAACCCTGAGGGCATCCTGCTTAGCACTTGCCTTCCTCCGAGGGCCCAACATCAAGAACCCTGCCAGCTGGTACCCTCTGCAGAGTGCCCCCCCTCTGCCCGGGGCAGGGCATAAATCCTTCCTTTGCCCAGGCCAGCCTGGGCCCCTAAACAATGGAGCTTCTGTCCTGCCAGGCCTGCCCTCACCTTTTACCTCCTCATTGCCCAACCCCCTCTCCGCCAGCAGGTTGGGTCTGGGTTGGAGGATTCTAATAACTGGGAGGACTAGAGATAGACTACACCTGGACAGACACTCCCCCAGCCCCCAAGCCTGGGCCTCACATGCTGTTCCTGGAGGCAAGACAGAGGGGAGTCCCTTTGCTTTCACTCTCCCAGCCTAGCCTAAGGGACCTCCTTAGCCAGCTAGTCCAGAGGGGTGTTAGGAGGGAGAACCAGGACAATGGGCATCTGTGGCTGAGTTACCCCCTGCTGAGAGGCACTGGGTGTGAGTCACCAAGGGGGTCCTTCCTTGGGAAGAGGGGGGACAGTTAATGTCCTGGGGCCACAGCATTGACACTAACAACACCAGGCCCATCTGTTTGTTCTATACAGGAACCTGGGAGGAACGAAGCTAGAAAGGGAAACTGAGGCTCAGAAGAAGAACACAGCCAGCGCCCAGGCTCCCTTCCCACCACCACTCTACCCTTAGTCACCCACTGCAGGTCTCAACACACTCCTGGCTGGGAAGTCCCTTTTCACATCTAACTGCCATTCATCTTGCTGCAAGATGGATCCCTCAGTACTGATAACTGTCATATCCTCAGTGTGGGAGATGGAAGTTGCCTTTAGAGCTTGTGCTCACGGTGCCCACCTTTATGGACCAGTTTCAATGTGCTTCTGGTCCTGAGACCTGGGGGCTGGGACCTGGCTTGGCAGCATCTGCCCTGTCCTTTGCCTCAAACTACCCCCTGTAGTCTACCAGTGGGAGTGTGTGTTGTATATGTGTGTTTCTGTGTGCATGTGTGCATATTTGAGTCCTCGTGTTTGTGGATTGATTCTACTTGTGTGTATGTGTGTGTATGTTTGTCTGTTTATCTTTTTGTCTGTTGTATGCCTGTGTGTTTGTGAGTTTGTGTATCTGTCTGGACGTAGTCTCCGTGTCTGTCTGCCAGTGTATTGTTTTGCCTGTATTTGTGTGTCTGTTGCCATGTATGTCTGCGTACATCTGTGTAACTATCTTTGTGTGTTTGCGTGTGCCTGTCTACTGCATGTCTGTCTGCCCATCTGTCTCAGTAGATGTCTACATACATGAGTGGATATATGTCTTTTAGGTAATTTGGCTGTCTGCCTGTCAATGCATTGTTGTTAAGTGCCATCGAGTTGTTTCTAACTCGTGGCGATCCTGTATAGGGTTTCTGAGGAGCGGCTGGTGAGTTTAAACCACCGACCTTGTGGTTTAAAACAACTTTGTGGTCTGGCATTTATCCGAGAGTGCCACACTAGGACTCCTGTCTATGCATAGGAGGCAGGAGTACAGAACAGGGAAAGAGAGCAGAGCCAAGAGCATGGTTCAGGAGTCCCTCCATCGTCACTGAGCTTGGCGCCAAGCTTGGCCGTGGTAGAATCTCGTGATTCACTGGGTTCCTTGACTAAGGAGAAAAGGAAAAGGGCAGGGCTGAGGGAAGGGGGTTGACATCCCACTTTCCTTTTCCATGACCCCCTCCTTCCTGGTGACTCACTATCTGTCATTTTCTTGTCCAGAGTCGGGCTTTGTCCAAGGGCCTGGGGCAGAAAACAGGTGAGGAAAACACCCAGCTGAATTCCTCAGCCTTCCTGGAAGGCAGGTAGCCTGGTCACTGTCCCTCCCTTGTGACTCTGAGCAGCTGAGTTGTACCAGATGCTATCTAGAGACTTTCTTATGCTCTATTCTTTCTGCAAGAGAGGCAAATCAGAGAGGGACAGTGACATGTGTAAGGTCACACAGCAGAGCAATGACCCAGGCTCCCCCACCCCCAACTCCCCAGGAGTCCAGAGCTTCCCCATCCCTTACAACTGCTCTCAGAATGGGCTATTCTCCTCGGAGGCTAAGCACAGCCTTCTGGAAAGACAAAGGTGTATTGTGCCTCCCCAGGGCTGAGACATGGGCACATGGACTCTGTTCAACCCAGATTCCTGGCCGAGGACCCATACTTGGAGCTCAAGGGTTCAGATGTTTGGCTCTCAAAAGCATTCCAGCTAAGGCTGGAAGTCTCTTGGGGGCCCCTGTGGTCAGCTGGACACATCTAGAGCTTGGGGCAATGACATCTAGCAATGAGACTGGAATCCGGGCCAGGTCTAATGCTGTAGAATGTTGAAGCCTGTTCTGTTATATTGGGCTTTCCTGGGGGCTGTCAGATTGTATGAAGGACTGTGTAATAGAATATCCATGGCCATGACATATTGGAGCCTGGGGTTGATATTATTTGGAGCCGTATGGTAGTGTGTTGCACCTGGCCGGGGCCTGCTGAACTGTTGTGGGGTTTTTTTTTTCATTCACTCAAGAAATGTTTCCTGAGCATATACTGTGTGCCAGGCTTTGTGCTAGGGGCTGCATGTTCAGAATTGTACAAACAGACACAGGCCCTGCTGTTCTAAAGTTTGCAGTCTAATGAGAAGAGATACAAATAAATAAGCAAACAAACCTATCAATAAGTCATTACAAAATGTGAAGTGTTAAGAAGATAAGCACATGGCACAGGAGTCTGGATTAATGGGGTGGCCAAGGAGGTCTCAGAAAAATTGACTTTTGAGCGGAGACCTGAAGAATGAGGCGGCAGCAACCATTCTAAGAGTTTGGGAAAGGGTGTTTGCTCCAGGAAGCTGGACCAACATGAGGCCAGGTCTAACTCCATTCGTTTCAGGAATGAAAGGGAGCCCAGAGTGACAAACCATTGTGATCAAGGAGGCAGAGGACGGAGAAGGGCTTGAGAGGGACTGGGGGCACATTATGTCAGGAGGTTGAGTTGTCTTCTAAGCCTCTGAGAGATTTAAACATTGGCACTGACGTAATCTGATTTCCATGTTCAAAAGCCCCCTCTGGCTGCTCTGTGGAAATCGGATTAATACAGGATAAAAGTGGATGCAGAGAGACCAGCTGGATGCAGAGACGAGGTGGTCTACTCCAGGCTAGAGATGCTGAGGCTTGAGGCAACAGAGAGCAAGGGAAATGACCCAACTGGAGACATATTCTGGAGGTGGAATAGATGGGACTTGCTGAAGGATTAGATGGGAGATGAGAGAGAGGCATCAAGGAAGACTTCAGGGTTCAAGACGGCCACACATTTTCCGTCATCTTGGTGAATTCAAGATGGTCACAATTTTTTTTTTGCTTCTACTCCCATTGAAGGGTGGATTCTGTCCCCTGGTCCTTGAACCAGGACAGGCTCTGGGACTGCTTTGATAAGTTTTTCACTCAGACCCAAGAAGACGGCTGAACACTGAGCCTTGGGTGT